GATATTTGTGCAGCATTTCAATGAGCAAATGCAAATAAATTAAAAATACACGCAAATAGAAGAAGGCAAATGGAAAACATTGATGCTCTTTGCGTTTTGTGTTCGTTTTTCGTTTTTCATTTTTTGTTTTCACTTTTTATATTTTCATATTTTCATATTTATTTTATGTCTACATTCGGTGAACGTGACGAAATGTGTTTCGCCTGCCGGACAGCAGTTGAATAATTTGCGCCACGTTCTATAAATTAGATGGCATTTCATTAGAGTCCACAGACGGCTAATGCGTCGTATACGCAATGTCCCAAAACACACACACACACACAGTTAGAGACACGTGAAGAGCTGCGAAAAGTGAATGAATGAATGAATAGAATACCCAAGCAAGGCATCCACACAGCCAGCGAGTCCTTGCTTAAATTAAAGACGCTGTGGTTGCTGCGTGTGTGGTGCAGTGGGCGGGCTGAGTGGTTGGCTTGTGTGTGTGTGTGTGTGTGGCACGCTGATGAATGTGTGCAAACCGCTTAATTATTCATTGAGGGCAATGCATTGGAATGCCGGAGTATTATGGCCCTGGCCGCAAGCTAATAAATAGGCGGCACAAACTGTACTGTAAACCGTGCAATTGTGGTGCGCGTTGCCGAATGCTCCACATTAATCAGTGGTGCACATTGATTAGAGCGCTCGAGCGTAGCAAAAACCCGCACAATGCAAGCAAATAATCATGGCACACTGGAAGCTCTCTAAAAACAATGATGGGAGTGGCAGAGGGAGGGGAAGAGCGAGAGGGAGACTGAAAATGCGAGAGAAAGTGAGTGATAGAAACTTCTCTCTGGCCCGACTCAACTGTCGCATTGTTTTTCTCTGATGAGCGAATCCCGCGAGGCATCTAATGTTATTTTTATGGCAATTTTATGTTTCCTCCCTCACACACACACACACACACACACATATATATATATATACTTAGAGTTATGCATTTACACATCATAAAGCCAACGATAATTGCAGTGAAAAATAGAAAAATTCTTGCATTGTTTCGCTGGCGCTCTGTCTGTCTGCCACGCCCCTTCGAGTCGTCTGTGTCAAGTAATAATATGTCTGTAATCATTAGACGACAGCGTGCAATGACTTTCCACACACACACACACACACATGCGCACACATACGCACACACCTATACATATGCCACTGTAATCATCATCCGGACATGCACACAGCCTGCATTTAGTCAATGCCGGCAAAAGTTTCAAAAGCGTTTTAAAAGAAAAATGTATTTTAGTTTTTTTCTAGCTAAATTTCATGAAAGTCTTTGTTAGATTTTAGTTATATTTATACCCTGAACCCATTGAAAATGGGAAATCAGGGTATGGTTTTGTGAAAAAGTATGTAACGGGCAGAAGGAGGCGTGGCAGACCCCACAAAGTTTATATATTCTTGATCAGCGTGATGAGCTGAGTCGATATAGCCCTGTCCGTCCGTCCGTCCATCCGTCCGTATGAGTGCGTCGATCTCAGAAGTTATAAGAGCTAGAGAGCTGAAATTTGGCATGCATACTCGTGTGTACCATACGCAGTACGAGTTTGCTTTATTTTTTCGATAAATCGTCCGATAACTTTTTTATCGAGAATAATCGAAAAATTGATTTTGTTTTTTTAGCCTAATTTGAACATTTTTAGACCTGGAGTCTTCAAATTTGNCACATATTCACCATATGATTACGCTCTAAAAGTTTCATTAAGATCGTATGTCTACAAAAGAAATTATTTAACAAATAAATTCTCATAATATTGCCCACACTGCAGCGCAGCCCAAGCGCAGTCGCTGCTTACTGCGCAGTTAGCAGAGCGCAGGCTTATGCGTGCGTGTGGATGCATGTGTATGTATGTGTGCATAAAAGAGGTGCAGAATAATTAGAATATCAGCTTAGAGGGTTAAGGGTATCTCCTAGAAGAGCAGTCTCGACTGGAGCCTTCTTACTTGTTTCATATAGAACTGCATGAATAATACAGCTCTTACAGCAAACTTAGAAAACTTCTTCTGAAACACTTGTCGCCTGCGCCAAGCGGGTGTTTTACTGGGCGTGAATGTGATGTGTGCTCGTGTGCGTGCTATGTTCTTCTTGTTTGTTGCCTCCGTTATAATAAACATGAACAAAAATGTGAGCGTGCTCTGCCTGCGTTTTGTGTACCCAATGACCGACTTCTTTGTTGAGTGGATGTGCGGTGTGTGGGTGTATGCGTGTGTACATGTGTGTGTGTGTGTGCGAATGGGTGCTTGTGCTGATGTGTGTGTGTGTGTGTGTCCATGTCCAGACGCCAACACTTTCAATTGTGTTCAGCGAGAGAGCAAGACAAAGAGAAATTTGGGCTATTAAAAAAACTATAGCATACTTACGAGGGCCAGCTATTTTTAGTCGATGAAGAACTATTAATATTTGCCGCTGACTTGGCTGAAATTATATAAATGAAAATAGCATTTGTGAGACTGAAGTTATGCAGTCTTGTAAATTAATATAAAAATTGTTTATTAAAAATGTCAAAATATCTGAGCTCCCAGTCTCCGTTGCGTTATTTGCGTTAGTTTATGCTCTATTTATCTGCTGATCTACTAAAATGCATATTTTTATCTAGCCAGTGAGACGCAATTAAACTGGAAGTCAGTTTTAGTCAAGAGCACACAATTTGTAATCAAATGAAACATTTAAATTATTTTGTAGGCAGCTGAAGCTGAAGCAGAAGCAAAAGCAACAGCAACAGAAGCAGCCAACAGACAGAGTGAGAGCGAGAGAGTTGGGGCAAAAACATAAAGAAAAGTAATTTGTATGCAAAATAGATGCGACTTGAGCTTAAAGGGGGCAGAGGGCAGCTGGGAGGGGGCTTGGTGTCACACTATTTGCCAGTGGCTCACATTTACATGCTAAATAGCTGCAACTGGCTAAAATCCGTTGATGGCTATCCTCAGTCAGACACTGTCTGTATGTATGAGTGTGTATGTGTGTGTGTGTATGTGTGTGTGTGTGTGTGTGTGTGTCTGCTAGCACCCATTGTCTTGTCTGATCTGCCCGAAATAAGCCAAGAGTACAAATTTGATTTTGAAATGCCTTCGTCTCTAGAGATTCTTACGCCGCTTCTAATTGAAATGCTAAATAATGAAGCCTGTGTGAAGCGCCAGAGATTCAATCAGTTCATGAATACGGCAATACGTACGCCAATTAGCTACAAGTTGCATGGCCTTAAACGAATCTCAGCTGCCTCAAAGGACGACACGTATTGCCTACGAGCTCTACGCAATTCGATAATCAACTTTATGCAATTTGCAAACAAGCTGAAACAAAACACAGAGACAAAGAGACAACACACACACACACACACACATACATATGGGGCTCGAAATGCGTATTGAAAAAGTTGACGCAATCAATTTTCGTTAATTCGCCACACGTTCACCCTCTCTCTCTCTCTCTCTCTCTCTCTGTCTCACTCTTTCAATATCTGTCTCTTTCTTCGCTGCTGCTCTCAAAGTGCCCAAATTAGCTCACATTGCAACCTGGCGAGGCAAACTTTTTCGCTTAAGTAAAAGTGCAAATTCTTAATTCAACTCCTTGTCTCCCGCTATCTCTCTTACTCACCCCCTCTCTCTCTCTCTCTCACTCACTCTCTGTCTGCGTCCCAAATGGCACTCAAGTTCGAGGCGCATTCAGCATTATGACTGTCAATGAGCCGATGCTGCCTGCCTCAACCTCAGCTATCGAATTCGCCAACTCCCAAGGGCAATAGCAACTGGCCGAGTTTAGTTTTGGCCAAGTTTTGAATTCACTCGCCAGCAGTCAGCACTTTTGCTTTTTGTTTGCCCTAATGATGCGTGCGTATTGTTGTTGTTTTATTGCTGCTATTGCTGCTGTTTTAGTGCATATCAATGAAAGTGCTATTGATGCAACTACAATATATCTGCCAATGTGGGCATTTAATGCTCAATAAGTATTTGAAGAGCAGTCGAGCTGCTATTTGTAGCCATTGCTGAAATTGAAAACTGATTGCTCTGAACTAAGCAGTCAATGAATTGTATCTAATGAGATACAATGATGCATTATTTATTGCTGCTGCTTATGATGAGCTGATGGCTCTATGCAAATGGAAGCAATTCGCTTTAAATTGCAGGTTAATAGACTTAGAGAATGTGATATTAATGGGGATTTGACTTTTGCTCTATGAATTTATTGATGAGTAGTGAAGCTAGTTTTAATAATGCCAATTAAATAAATAATATATATTTTTTTTTTTTTTAATTTGGTAGTAGTATAGTATAGTAGTATAGTAGTTAAAAAAAATTTTCAAT